TTTTTTTTTTTTTTTTTTTTTTTTTTTTTTTTTTTTTTTTTTTTGAACAGTTGGAGCCCGGTAATATGTCACAACTTAAAGAGCAACGTCGAGATTGGACTTACCAGGCCCGTAGCGGGGGGAGGGGCCGGGGGACCTGGGCCCCCCAATAATTTCCCAACCTTTTTTTAAGCAAACGTCCAGCTAAATTTCAAACACTATTATCTTAAAATTGATAGAGGCGACTCATTTTTCCAAAAAAAGTTCACATAGTTGGCATTTGTAAATGATGAAAACTCAAAACAAGACATGCGAAAAAGCACATACTTGGCGTGGCAAAATGAGCCCCCCCCCAATAGTTTTACCCCTGCTGCAGGCCTGCTTACAAAGAATTCAGTGCATATCCTTCCCTCTCCCTCCCCCACTCCTTTTTTTTCGATCGTATTAGTCATTCCAAAGTTGAGAAAAAAGCTGGGTCGACTTGGCATTGCTGTGTATTGTGTGGCTGTTTTAGGGGACATATTTCAGAGATGATATCTATTTCGTCCTCTAAAACAGTCCCAACATACATTAGATTGCTAACTCGACCCCGTTTTTCTCGGCAAGGCTTACTGGCTTAAACTTGGCTTTCAGACTCAAGATTTTAGATTTGAAATCTTCCAGTCTAAACGATGCTCCAGGCTTTACCATCATAACTGCGCCTGGAACATAATTCACAATAAAAATATTAGAAAATGAGAACATAGAAAACGAGTCGTCTTTTAACGACTGCCAAAGAAGGATTACGTAGGCAACGGGCAAACTCTGACTTTGTGTCTCGAATAAAGACTCTAGCGGTAGTCTGGGACGAGAGAGGACCACTTGTTTCCAGCATATCATTGACGTCTTTTAATATCGTCTTTTAATATCTGTGAAAGCTTGTACGGCGATGCTGTGACCGTGATGGTGAATCATACTGTGACACGCTGCGTACCGTGATCGTGACAGTATCGGATCTGAGCATTTCATTTGCTGAGTAGTAATCTCGTGCACTGTGATTGGTTCAAAGAATACCTTACTGTGACACGCTGCGTGCCATGATCGTGACAATATCGGATCTGAGCATTTCATTTGCTGAGTAGTAATCTCGTGCACTGTGATTCGTTCAAAGAATGTCTTACTGTGACACGCTGCGTGCCATGACCGTGACGGTATCGGGTTTGAGCATTTTCATTGGCTGAGTAGTGATCTCGTGCACTGTGATTGGTTCAAAAAACGCCTTACTGTGACACGCGGCCTGCCGTGACCGTGACAGTATCGGATCTGAGCATTTCATTTGCTGAGTAGTGATCTCGTGCACTGTGATTGGTTCAAAGAATGYCGTACCGTAAAAGTCTTCCTGTCGTGTCGTGTCGTGTCGTATCGTGCCGTGCCGTGTCATGCCGTTGCACAGTTTTAAGAAATCTACTTTGGCTACTTGATGCTATAATGCAATACCAAACCGCTAAATATATAAAACACAAAGACAGTTTTAAGTCTGAGAGACTTCACTTACCACAGTAAGTACAGCACGACCCGATTGGTTCCAGAGGGTCATTACACAGTGGCACCACACAAGTCACGTGATTACATATTGTAGTCTTTTCCTATAAACATTTAAGTTGTTTTAGTTTAAAAAAGGCGATTTCCATATTTCTTTCCACTTTTACGACTTTACAACGTCTGGATTTTGGCTTAGGTCAATAAAAAATACTAATTTTGATATCATTTTAGCTTTGATCGACAGAAGCCAAAACAAGAGAAAACGTGTCCGTCTAAAGTTGTCTTGGTCACAGGAAAGAGTAGCCTCCTGCGCAGCCACTGTGAGGTGCAAACCGGAAGCACCTCACAGCTGCTGCACAGGAAGCTAAGGAAAGTGCTGATTTTAAATAAGCAGCTTTGATTTTTAAAAAAGCAACACTACAAGAAGTCTTGCCCTAATCTTCCTCCATGCTTAAATTTTGAGTAGGAATGAAAAGAAAAATTACCTGATTTGTGTTGCAAAGGCAGCCTTTTGGGTCATTGCATATTTGTCCAGTGAGCTGCATAGAACTGATGCTCAAATGGAACTGCATGGCTCCAGAATCACCACTGAGAAATTCTTTGAAAGAACTCTGGGAGTAACTCTACAAGAAAATAGGAAAAAAAATGTTTTTYCCCCAACATTTTTGATAATCCCTCTTGTGTATGTACAGAGGTTGTGTAATGACGTGATGTGTAGTTGGGGGTGTGGTTGAGAACAAGGGAAATCTGAGTTGGGTTTACAGAGCTCCCATAATGACCATAGAAACTGGCTGTCAGAAAAAAATAGTAAAATAAATACATGCTTACCTTTCCATTAATGGTAAGAGAAGCAACAGTGATGGGCTTGGTACTAGCAACATTAAAAGAACTGTCCTGAAATGTATTTCAAGATAAATGTGTCAGTAGCAAATTGAGGTTGTCCCTTTTCTATGGTCTGTACTCTCATCGAATATGGAATGGTGTCAGCATATGATCCAAACTGGAATAAGAATTGCCCTACTTCACTATGACGTCACATCAAAACAATATTCAACAATCTATTGTTTAAATGCAAAGAATCATGGTCGTCGGACGGGGTCAAATCAACGCAAACTAACTGAAAATTGTTCTAAATCCCGTATCAATGCACGAAGAGAAGTAGAATAGCCAGCAAACGCTCAGAATATTTTTTAGTACATATTACATATAATTATATCTGAAAACCAGGCCATTTTAGATTAAACTGTTTCGCTAGGAGCAAATTTAGTTGGATTTTCTATTGGATTTGGCGATTCTATCCCCGACATAAACAAGCAGTGACGTCATAGTGAATTAGGTCAATTGGAATAGGGGAGGATGGGAGCCTTTTATAGAATGCAGCCCTTAGAAAATATGGTTTAAAGAAGGGTATGAATTTATCATTCTTAATCTATATGTCAAGTCCATGTTATGTCTATTACATTTATGTTACTGTAAATTTACTGTTATGTTATATCAGGACTATATTTAACCTAGCCTTGCTAAACTAGATGTGCCTGTATAAATATTGACTTAAATAAAAAAATTAAGTATTTATTAAATATATACTATTTTTAAATATATAACGATAAAAGTCTACACCAAATATTAAGAATTTTCATTGTGGAATACAATAATCAAGAACAGAAAAATATATACAAACCTTAGGAAATAAGACTTGATCATGTTGACAAGGGACCTTCTCCAGGTGTATTATGGCATTTGCATCATTTAACACAGGGTTCCCATCATTATCAGTTACCTTCCAGTTATTGGGGTTGTACCACATTTTAGGTACACTGGCTATAAACTGGATATTACCCTTTGCTGTGAATTAAAGTAGAAATCCTGCTAGTAAGTATAACCACCAAAATGCACTTCACAGTGTGTTATAGTCATATATTATCTAAAAACCTTAAAAACCTGAAAACAATTATCGGTACCCTGAAACAACCTCTAGCTGGAATGATCAGGGCATGGCTAATTCACACATTGAATTGTGGTTTTGGGATTTGTGGAGGTAGGAAAACTGTAGTAACCTAGAGTAAAACCCTTTTGAATCTAGTGAAAGACCAAACAAACTCTACTCAATGGGCATACGTGTGATGCTGAATATTTAGTCTGAGACTCAATAGATAGGAAACAATAATGCACTACCACTACACCACCTTTGATATAAAAACGCTTGAATCTAGTGAGAGAACAAACATACTGTACTCAATGGGCCTACATGTGATGCTGAATACTAAGTCTGAGACTCAAGAGATAAGAAGAAAATTTCACGCAGTATCACTACACCACCTTTGATATTCCCTTATTTCATAACTGTTCTTTAATTTTTCCATCAAAAAGGTAAAGAATAAAGCATTACACTTCACCTGTACACTTATCAAGAACAACTTCTCTGTCCTGATAGAAGGTTAGCTCAGCATCTTTGTGGAAAATTAATTCCCCATTCATAGGTAAACTCTAAAAAATACCAACAAAAATAGATCTCTGTTTTCATTTCACTCCAGACATGAAATATCCTATAAACAGTTACTGCAATTTTCAATAATTACCCATACTCAAAGGTTGGAGTTGTCCTACGGAATTTGGTCTTTTGCTGCCACTGGTCAAAAATGTAAAAGCTACCTATACTATGATTAACTTTGATTGGCAGCACTGACACCAAATTCCAGCATGGAGCTGGAGCTAAAAGTTGGATGCTTATTAAAAACTGCTCTGACTTAAAATGTCAGGAGAAAATTTTCATTGAAATAGTGCAAATCTTTGTGTACTGTGATTTTCTTACCAGACTTTTAAGTGCATTTTGTCCTGTCAAGGCAATGGATAATGGGCTACTGTTCTGTGGATTACCAAGCTGCACATCCTGTAATGGACAGGGAACTCTCCCTGATGCCCAGTTTTCACCATTATTCCAGTTAGTATTGGGAATCCAGGTTTTGTATTGCTCTGCAGCAGATGCATGACTGTGTCCTAAATAACCAAAATAAACTTATTTGTGCCATGCAAAACCACATTATGCCACCCCTTACACAAAACACTTATTTCAAAGCAGCAAACACCTTTATAATAGTAAAAAAGTAAAGTTCAGCTTATAGTATGTGTAAAATATGTAAGATAGCAAGTTTTTTGTTGTTGAGGGGTTTATTTTAACACAGGTGCTTTATTTAAATTGGTTATGGTTGCATGACCTGTTAGTAGAAATGGAAATAATTTACACAGATTTACAAAAATTATTAAGGAATGTAACCAATTAGCCAGTTATGTCTCGATCCTGTCTGGGTTTATGGCTGGCTGTCAATCAAAAATACTCATAGTTCCCCCCCCCCCCCAGGCAATAGCAAGCCAATCACCATTGCAGCAGTTATTTTTTCCAATGGAATCAAAATCTTGTCCTACAAACAACTAGGCAATATCTGTTTTAAAGAGTAATACAAGGATTACAAGGCAATTATATTTTATTTTTACAGGACAGTAAATAACAATAAAAATATTATAATCAATTTTCCTTGATTAGAGTTTTAAATCCTGAGATATTCTAGCTAATATTTGAACTTGTGGGACACAGCAACAGTAAATACGGAAAGCGGAACCATGAATTGAAAAAGACCATTGGAAATTTGATTGACATAAGCCTAAAATCCAGATGTATTGAGGTGTCTGGGTACATCAGAAAATCAATGACATATTCTTAACTGGGCTTACAGTCTTAAAAAGGGAGTCAATGACTAAAAATCAGTCATAAGGAAAAAATAAAACGAAGAATAACAATAAGATAAAAATTAATTGTAATTTTTCCCTGTGTTTTGGACTGACACTCGTACTTCCTCTAGCTTCAGTACCGGGTTCAGTACCGTACAAGACATGAATAAATAAGCTTAATTGATGGACACTTTATGCATCTATGCACTCATACTTAACGTACATATAGAGATAATATTTGCTGGCCTGGAATTTATCGATGTATTTGGTGCAATTATTTAACCTTTCTTCCATATGTTTATAGAGACACAAGTGACAGCTCGAGTGTCGTGTACGATAGCTTTATTGATTTTGACTGATTTATTTAGTTTAAACTTACCATTAAACGCTAAAAGCAACGTAGCTACAAGCAAATACAGTCTAAGAAGCTTTTCCATCGCTTGAGCCTCAGTAATATCGATAATATTTGGCTGTTTTGTCTTCAGCTGATCAGCTCACTGACTGAACAGCGGGAACTCAAGGGATTTCCTCCCCTGGGAGGGGGAGTAGGGAAGCACTGATTTGATACCACAGCTAGCCCATGCAATTTTCTGATTTATTGCAGTTTTGGCTTACGAATTATTTTCTCATGAAAGAGAAGAGAGAAAGATGAAAAATTCAAAGAAAGAAAGAGAAAATTAAAAAGAGAGATAAAGAAAGTAAGTGAGAAGGGAGAGAAGTTAAGGAGGGATAAGGATACGCAGCCCGTAAAGTCCTCCCACTGGTTATAAATGTAAAGCGCATTGAGATATTTGAAATGCGCTATGAAGTACCCCATTATTTTCTTTTTTGTTTATTTATTTATATAAGGAGGGAAGAAGAAGGGAGAGCAAGGGGGTCGTGGACCTTGAGACAAAATTTCTTTCCACAGTTACACCGTGCAACATTGCGCGCAATAATCCGCAATAATACTTCAGGTAATATTGCTGAAGAAGGATCGTTCATTTTCTACTTCAGCAACCTGCGTGCAACAAATTGCGTCGTGTGACGTAGCTCGCGTCATCGATAAGAACTCTCTACCTTGGGCATAATGTTTTCCCATTTCAAACCACGTAATTCCCTAGAGTTTCTCTGTTTAACGCTTGCACATTAGAAGACACATGAATATGGATACAATGAGAAAAAAAAAAAGAATCTTACTTTCAAGTGAATGACACGTGGTCTGAAATGGGAAAACATTACGCCCAAGGTGTGAAGAGATCTATTTCCTGCAACATTGCACGCCACCAAAAGAGCACAAATATTAATGTTCTCTTGGACGCCATGCAATGCTGCACTGTGCGTCCGTAGCTTTAGCTCGTCAAAATTTACATTTATTGTTTAATATCGGCGGTTCGGTCCCCCCTTCGCTGGCCAATGTCACGTGCACCTCGGAACCGCTCCAACTGAACCGCATTTATGTGTGTGCGAGCGGAGTTTTTTCGTTGTGTTTTTCTCACCATTGCCACAAGGGTTTTCTTCGAGTAGGTACTCCGGTTTTCCTTCCTGAAGATGCATATTATCGATAACAATCTAATGACAATGATAACCGAATAAAGTATGAAATACGTGGCATTTGGAAAAAAAAAAACTCTGTTGTCAAAAAACGCAGGTGGTTTGAAGCAGCGAGTCCCAAAAACACGTCATCCATTAAAAGCTCATAACGGATGACCTGCTCTCGAGAAAGATGAGACAAACCACGTACTGACGTCAGACAGTCGCAATTAGAGTCAAATAATACCAGTGTTGTCCATATCGTTAATGATAATTATAAAGCTGCAAAGCGATTGATGCGTATAATAGATGTTAATCCAACATTAGGCGTCTGACTAAAGCTTGTTTACTTCTTTTATCCAGTGGAAAGCTAGCTTTGTTGATCAATTCCATGCTGGTTGCCTGGAAACTATTTCTTTGAAGACGTTTATGCAAGTTTTTATGAGTTTAGAGTTTAAACAAAAGGTTACGTCAAACTTGTACAAACAATTGTTGAGGTTGGATAAGTCCTAATCCATCAAGGAAGAGTCACTCTGTTAAAAGTTCATTAACTGAAGCTCGCTCGACGGGATTTGAACACAGGTTTCTTCGCCGTACTTTGTTTTAGAAAACCAAGTTCCTGAAAGCCGTTTCAAGTTAGATAAACTGAGCTTGAAACTCGATCGTTACACGATGCTTCAGAATAAAATTTCAAGCCACGACCTTCAACATCAGCGTCAAATGGTCGACCAACTGAGAAGAGAAGTGAAACTGGATCGTTTGAAAGTATCACAATGTGCCAATGATATCCTGCAATACTGTGAACAACAAGAAACACAAGACCCTTTGGTAAATCCTAAACATGAGAATCCATTTAGGAATACGAACAAGGGGTGTAAGATTTTGTGAGGCATGGAAATTTTGACAAGAACTGTTCGGCTCTCGCAACGGAAGCTTCCGATAACTTCCCAATCGGTAACCTAAGATTACATACTTCCTAGACCTGATGCAGTAGGAAAACTGGATTATTAAGAACTTAGAAAACTTTACTCTATCTCAAGTTAGCAAGAAATCAAGATGTAGGCAAGAATACAAGTCGCTGTTCTTTTAAGACACTTAGTTTCCTAAAAATGTCAATATCGCTCTGTTTTTATTTGCTAATTTTTATCACACTTTGAAAAACCTTTGAACAATATGATTCTGCAAAATTGTCATTTTTGAGTGACATTTTTAATATAAGGATGTTGTCATGAGCTGTTTGATTCGCTTCTTTTAAAAAAGTGAAAATCAATAAAAACATTTATATTGTAATATTCCAAGCCCTCGGGCGTGAAATTAGCTTCATGTTGATTTAGAAAGAACTCCTTTCTTTGGAATATTTAAGTGGTCTCTCATAATGATTCAAACAAATATTGTGATTATATAAAGCCAAGAGCTAGTCTTTATGCTAGTGATGTATTGAATAAACGCATATGTGTGGACTCAAATATCAGTATGATGATCAGGATTGATAAAGCAAAGCAAGTGTTGGATGAAGTAGTGACTGGAGCAGCACGACATGCCTCGCCGTCACGGTACGGAAGTCATGACATTCCGTGTCCAGTCACAGCGCGCGAGGTCATTAGTCGAACACAGCGCGCCCTGTCACGATCACGTTACGAAAACTCCGTACTGTGTGCGTCATTTGTCACGCGAAATATGCTCTGATGCTCTAATGCTCTAATGCAATCATTATAAGACTAACAGAGGGACGATTGAAGATCACAAACGACTCGATTAGTAGATGCTATTCTTCCCTGCAAACTAAATGTAAGGCTTAGGGCAAACCTCGAAATTCATGAGCCAAACCTTGAAACAATGAAAAACAAGGCGATTTTCTTTGATGTCATTACGGCTCCAGCTCGTGCGATGTTCGACGTTTGAATTAAGCCTAAGTGCGTTGAAATGGTAGCCCACTGTTTTTAAAAAGATAAAGTATGTAGCATATCTCCAAAAGACCCCTTGCAGGTGACGTCAAAGCACCTCAATTTGGAGCACAAAAACAAAAGAATTTCAATCTCCAGAGAATTGGAAACTTATTGTTCTGTCCTCCAAATTGAGCTGCATTCTGACGCGCTTCAAGGTGTCTATAGCTGGTATTATGACGTCAATACTGAACGCACGCATCGAAGGAGAACATAATCATTTTATGACGTCATAGTGGCTTTCCAATTCGATCTGTGACATCATATTGGCTGGCATGTTTTGCGCATGACTATTACAAAATGTAAGAGTTGCAGATGGGAAATGCTCTAAGGACAGCAATAAAGTAAGTTCTAATAGACTTCTAATCTATTTAATATCCGTTACTTTTTAGCCGCTATATAAAGGATATTCTTAATTCTAAAGAAATGATCGATCATTCGAATGCCATCGAGAATGGATGAGCTTAAGCGCGCGTGTGTTAGTGCGGCAGGCACAATTTTTCTTGTGTATGTAAACCCTAGAGATACGGGGAAAATATTCAAATTTGAGAACAATTTCTTATATGATACCCCTTAATGTTAATCATAAAACGAAGCAAGGTGCAAAAGCGCAATGAGTACTAAAGAAAAGGTAACAATGAAAAACTGAAAATAATTTTACGTCATGCTATATTTCTTTTATGGATGGCATGTCCACATTTTGCATTTGTTTCGTATTTTAGTGAAATAGCTACGGAATTGCAAAAGTTTGTGACCGAGGATGCACCACCAAACCCTCCCGACCCTCCCCCCGTAAGTAGACCACGATCACAGGGAATTCGGGAAAGACGTCGCACAAAGCGTCTAGAGGAGATTCGTCGTGCGAAATATGTTGTCATGGAAACTACGTCCGGCAGTCGTAGTGAACGTGAAGTAGGTACAGCTAAAGAGAAGAAAAGACGAAGAAGGCGTCGAGCGGAGAACAGCAGTAAAACAGGAGAAACAGATACACTTTTGACAAGAAAGAATAAACAGAATCGACAAAAACTGCCAGATGGAGATCTAGAAAAGGTAAGTGATACTGTGTTGACCAAAGAAGACCATGGACTGATCGCAATATCAATAGATAACGATCCTATATCAAGACCTCTTGAATGCACATGGGACATCAAAGGAGCTTAAATTGGAAAGGAAAGGATAAGTTAAAGGGATGAATTTATATAGCGCCATTTCCAGGAGCTCAATGGTGCTTTACAAGATCAGTGGAGGACTTTACGGGCTGCGTATTAATTGGAGGGTACTGAACAAAAGAATTTCAATCTCCTGAGAATCGGAAACCTATTATTATGTACTCCAAATTGAGCTGCATTCCGACGTACGTACTGCAAGGCGTCTACAGAACTGAATGTCCTTTTGCCAAAGGTGCATTAAAATAATTCGCCAAGTTGTAGGGGATTGTCTCCCGGTTCAACAGCCTATCCCAATCTGCAGAGGCACTTATACTAACTTACTTACAAATCACTCATGATTGTAAGCTGCACGGCTGCTACCAGCGCCTAAATACGCAGCCCGTAAAGTCCTCCACTAATCATGATTGTGAAGCGCATTGAGACCATGTAAAATGCGCTATATAAGAACCCCGTTATTATTATTATTATTATTATTNTTATTATTATTATTATTGTTATTGTTATTATTATTGTTATTATTATTATTATTATTATTATTATTATTATTATTATACGTGTTCCGCAGGTTCCGCCGTTCCACAGTCCTTCAATCCGCGTTTTACCAATTAGAAATAGAACATGTATAAGCGAAATTGTTCTATAAATTCTCATTTTGTTTCAGGTAACATCGATGTCATTTCCTACCTTACCATCACTGTTCATGAGGTTCAAAAAACCCAGAAGACAACAAGGGACTTCAAAACCAACCAAAGACTTCCTGCATCAGGCAGAATAATAACATACGCAAACTATAATTCACTTCGTTTTCAATAAAATGGTTAATATAATTACTGTGAATGGTATCATTAGAGAGTTAAGCTCATATACAACACTGATAACAGCCATTCCTGCTGCTATTTTCTAATCAACTACARAAATATTTATAGTCTCTCTTACTATAAAATATAATCATGTTGCTTATGTTTATGCTTGTGTTGCAAGCTATGGGGATTAGTCACTCCGAGGTTGAAAAAAAGCTGGGTCGAGTTGGCATTGCAGTACATTTTGGGTGCTGTCTCAGGGACGACTTAGACACCATCTTGGAAATATGTCCCCAAAACTGCAACCGCACAATACACTGCAATGCCAACTCGACCCAGTTTTTTTTTCCCCATAACCTCGGAATGGCTAATCGAGGCCTGATGATTTTCAATCTATATTTTCTTAATCCCCTATTAGATTCCTTGCCCGGTGAAAATGCATGACCACAATCTTACGCAGTCAAGATAGCAATAAAAATTGTTTCCGGAAAGGAAATTTTCTCCAAAGTTTGTGAATTGCTCTCCCTTTCATTTATTCGCATATATATCTAAAATAATAAGCGGGTACTTCTGGTTTCTACTAAAACAGTGACACCGTCATTTGCATCGGTGGCTTTCCTCCACTGATTGGTTACTATCCTTTCACTTGGCGGAATACTTCAACTTCGTCGGGTTTGAAGTTATACGAACCAGCCAAGATTGCCTGCGTGTCTGAGGAGCTATATTTGTAACCCTTGAACCATACGTACGAGTGACCAAGGTTGCTGTATGAGTTAGTATTGCCGCCGGCGTTATTGGCAATGTATATGTCATGGCCTCCTCCAAATGTCGGTCCATATCCCCCATTGCCATATATGGCATTATCAATATTTTTGACTTTAAGCTTGAAAGGCTCAAAATCATACTTATTTTTAAAAGAGAAGATGAAGGAGTTGACGGATTTGGAATATGAACCACTGGAATCTGAGTAATAAAATATACAAAATAAATAAGTATACGGCCGCAATCTGCGCATTATTTGATTCTGTTCTGGCCGGTGGATGCATGTGATTTATTATAAATGCATTATTCTATCCAATTGTGATACATTTTTTTGCTCTACCCCTGAACGACCGAATTAATGGTTACACATGAGAAGACAGATAATCCTTCCTTGCGCTTGAGTATAAAATCAAAAGGAGTCTAAATTTGAGGATCATTTTGTATCCGCCATGGTGGTTGAAGATTCAAATCATTCCTCATTTACTTAGTCAACCTAATTTTGCGGCTGTTTCATTATTGTTTTTTATATCTCAAGGGGCTTTAAGTCATGTGGTTGCACCCCAAGAATACTACTTACGCCAGTTGATATCTGTGTATCCTCCAAACATGTATTGACCGACTTTGATGATGGTTATCGTTGGGCCAACTGAGTTGCACCCTGAGTGGAAAGTACTGGATGCCCATCCATTAACCTTGGTGTAATAGCAACGTTCCCACTTGGTTGGCAGACCAGTTGTTACAGGTGCGAGCCATTCCATTAACTTCATGTAGTATTCCGTTTGGTTGGTAAGAATATCTGAGTGCAGCGTGTGACCTGTAAGGAGATGGAAACACATCTGAAGATCCTTATTAACTAATTTTTTGGCGTGGTCCTTCTGCATTGTACCCTAAACCTATTGCATTACTCGTTAGCTTCGTTCAATTGTATAACTTGGGGCCTTTTGAGTTTCTATTGAATTACGTAAACTGTGACCGGTACCGGGACAAGGAACCCTTTTTTTAGAGAGTGCAAAATAATTGCTCTTGATAAAAACCAATGGAAAACTGGATACAAATGTTCCGCTCGAAGACTAGGCAAATCAATTTGACATGCAGACAGGAATCGGTTAACCTATAAAGAATAACCCACTTCTGAGACATGCTTGGCATGTCACATACAAAGGATTCAATGTAAGTCCGTCGTGCATAATGCTGAATGAGAATAAACATGGCCGCCGTGTGATAAAGGTCCTATCGTTAGTGGGCTATTGCGCATGTATCTGGAATAAAACATCCATCAAAGCTCCATATCTATTGAAGCATTTGTAGCAGACAAAAACGTCACCCTGCAGGGTTTGAAATACGAATTGCTAACGTGGAAATACCTTTGCATTCTGGTTCTATGTCAGTCCAGTTACCAGTGAAATTATCGCAGGTCATCCGCGGAGCCCCTATCAGCCAGTAACCTGGATGACACTGAAACTCAATGGTTTTTCCTGCCCAGTACTCTTCGCCAACAATGAAACCATTTTCTGGTATAACTGGCTCAGGACACATTCGATAACCTGTTGGAATTAAATTTGCCTTAGCTTTGTTACTTTATTTGATTATTTATCAAGTTACTGCTACACATGTATCCTTGATCAAACCTTTTTCGGATAGGTTGCTCTTGAAAAAATATATCTCTGCCTGATCAAAGTCAACGCACAAATCAAATGGGAATAGCTTAAAATATTTTGCAGAGGGAGGAAAACCAGAGAACCCAGAGAAAAACCCTCGAATAAAGGAAGAGACCTAACAAACGAACTTTACTCTCATATGATGACAAGTCAAGAATCCAAAACTCCAGAGCTGAGAGGCGAGGGCACTACGTGGTCTTCACCATCCTTGATTTCCTTACCCTTACTGGTAAACGAAGGAATCGTTCTCAAGAGAATGGCACGTGGCTTTGAAGGGGGAAATATTAGGCCCAGTTGAAGCTAATGGTTCTGTTTACTTACACGTTGGAAGGTAGTTGCTCCAGTTTCCAGATGACAGGCAGAGTCTGTTGCTTGGCCCGTCCAGATGATATCCAGGATCACAGGCATATATCACCATCTTGCCTGCCCAGTTTTCCTTGCCTGTACGATAACCATGTTCAGGTGTCCCCGGGTCACCACACAAGGCAAGTTCTGCAGGGAAATGTTCGGGAAAATGTTTTTAGTAGTAGAATTTATACTTGTTGTTAAGTTTTTGTGACATTCCATAGGCCCTTTAAAACTACCTCATTTAAGCGTTTAAGCGCCGCCCCTGATTAAATTAAACGTCGCCCTCAAATAAGTGCCGCGCCTTAGACCAAAATTATTAATAAGCGTCGCCCCTGAATTAACGCCGCATATGAAACTTCAAAAAATTGAATAAGTACGGTATAGGTTTATCGACAATGTCATGAAATACTTTGACTGACGTCCAAACTAACCTACTTCAAAACATAAGTCCATCATAAAAAATAAGAATTGCGCGCTAAGATTTAAAAAAAACAAAACAACAAACACACACACAAACAAAACGAAACAAAAGACCGAGCGAGGACAAATAGAAGGGCAGCAAGTATGCCCAGCATGGGCGGAGGTGAGAGGGGGAAGCGTTTGAAAAGCATGTCCTGATGATGTCCTGATAAATAAAACTCTTTTACGAGTCTATGAGATCAAAAACACGTCCCAATCTAATAGGTATTACCAACCTAATCGCATTTTCTTTTCAGCTGTACCATTATCGTAGTTCCTAAAGAAGCACGAATACGATCCTTGATGTTCAGGCCCAAACGATGGGATAACGAGTTCTCCTGTAACCTCAACGGTATTCTTTCTTACAGTAGTATTTGTGGATATGGGAACACCATCTTTTATCCATTCCACGGTCGGCAGAGGAGATCCACTTGCTGAACAGATCATTCGGACCTCGCTGTATATTTGACGCACTGTTATCGTGCTGGGAGGAGATTTGCTAATGACTGGGGGAACTAGAAATAGAAACGCTTGAATGAGCATGGGCAAGTTAGAAATAATAGCAATGGCAATGGCAATGGCAATGGCAATGGCAATTGCAATGGCAATAGAAAAAAGGAAAATGAAAGATCGAAGAATGCCAATAGCAAATTGAAAAATAACAATAGAAAATATTGTTGTACAGAAAAAGATTTTGGCTATATGCGCTATATCCATGTCCATCAATTCACCTCTAATGAACGTGCCCGATTTGTGTTTAAGGCTCCGGCATTGTTTCAAATTTAGAAATCGCTTTCAAATAATATTATTTTCTGAATCTTTATTATATGACCTTTAAAACAATATATAGTTTTATGGGGTTTTATTTAAAGTGTTGCGAAGAGAGAGTCTTAAACGAAACATACCCCTGAAGGTCTCCAGTAACCTTAATGAACTAGGAATCCTTCATGGACAGTATATACTTACACACAGGGTGCACTGTCAACACTATGAGAGCAAACACAGAACCATGTGCATTAATGCCCTTGCACATGTAAGGACCTTTATCAGCCGGCACTGTTTTCTTGATAATAAGATGTTTTCCAGCTTTGACGTGTCGTCCTTTGGGCATGTCTTGTAGGGCTCTCGTCCATTCGATTCGAGGCGGAGGGTACCCAAATATATCGCACGTAATGGTAGTATCCCAGGTCTCGTAGCCCGGATGATAGACAGGTGGAGATACGACAAACCTGGGAACAACTAAAGTACAGACAATGTTATAGGTGCAGCTGAATAAATGTAGAGAGGAGTGGAGACCCGAGCTGTAGGGAGTAGAACAGGGAGCCCAAACTTGGTTTTTAGAACGGTACTAAAGGAAATATTAGCCTTTTCAAGGTTGAGGTAGGTGGAGGAAAAAATTCGGACTGGGTCGAGTTGGCATCGCAGTGCATCGTGGGACGCGTGGGACTGATCAAGGAGACGGATAAAAAAGGCATATTAGAAATGGTTCCCCTAAGACAGTTATACGTCAATATGCACAGCAAGCCAACTCGACCCGGGTTTTCCTTTATTAACCGCGCAATGGCTAATTGATGTATCGTTTCTTTAGATTTTGGAAAACTCGAGAATTTGCTTTCATCTACATCTTGTGTACTTGGAGCCTTTTAAAATGACAGACACTAGCGGGGAAGAAGTTATATAAAGGGCTCGAATTGCGCTAAATCTCAGTACGCTAATTCTAGGTACGAAAAGTCCCAAAACAAATCACGAGTGCTGCTACCTGTGGTAAGACCTACCGTTCACAACGAGCAAAAAAGTAGCCTGTTCTTGCCCAATAAAGTTTTTAGCATCACAGAGATATCTGCCACCGTTGTCAAAGGTCACACTGTTGAATCTCAAAGGGCCGTTTTCATACAGCGCTCGGGGCACTGCCTTTTTGTTTTTGTACCACGTGATCACTGGCACCGGAAACCCGGATGCCTCGCAAGGGACGACGGTGTTTTGACCTTCTCTGACTACAAGTACTGAAGGTGGACGTCTTGTTATTCTAGGAACATCTGCAGAAATATTTTTTCAAGGAATTGAAACGTTACAGGAGATTAATATGATTGGCTGGATTGTTACCAATCCCTTCTTGAACACAACGGTCTTACTTAGACTTCACCAAATCCGCTGCCCTGTGTTTATCTCTGCTGGAGCTACGCTATAACAATTCTCCCGCGGAAGACAGTTGGGGCAAGTCTAGAACTTAATTAATTAAGGTTTTAAAATACCTTGGCGATATAGATTGAAAATATGTAAATTCTTAAACGTGAATAAAAATGAAGGAAACTGTTATGAAATTGTGGATGTTAGGAAAAAGACATTAAATTAAGAAATAGAGCGAGATTCGAAGGCAGTAGTTAAGAAAAGACGAACAACAAACACGGGATGGATACAACCGACAATGGTCCAGTTACCCGAGAGCTCGTCGTTTTTGGTAAGGGCTGAAAGTAACGCACCCTTGCGATCACAATACTCCTGCCAGTAGCTGAGTACTTATCGACCTCTTGCACGTTGGAATGCAGCTCAATTTGGAGGACATAGCAATAGGTTCCAAATTCTCAGTAGATTGAAATTCCTTTGTTTTGTCCTCCAAATTGAGCTGCTTTGACGTCACATCCAAGGGGTCTATAAGATGGTCCTGTGAAATCAATGGTAATTCAACAACTTCGATAGCCGTGCATTCATTTTACTCACCAAGAGAGTCTATTAGAACGGATCTGTTGCCAGAAAAGGCTCTTCCTGGGAACCCTCTAGGGCCTCGAGGTCCTGTCATACCAATGGGTCCTCTTTTACCTGCATAACCTCGATATCCTCGCTGGCCTTTCTTTCCTCTGCGACCCCTCGGCCCTGTCGGCCCTTGTGGACCAGGAGCACCCGGGGGACCTGAGAAATAAACCAAAATGACTTGAATATCAGGCTGTGAGCGGGGGTGGATCCAGTATTTTCCTACGAGGAGGGGGGGGGGTGCACCGTCCAGGGTTATTGTTCTAGGAGGGGGTGCAACCTTCGCTTATAAACTCAAACACCAATAATGCAGTAGATATCAGCTCATCTGGGGTGGGGGAGTGTGCTCCCCCTGGCCCCTCCTCTAAATTCGCTCCTGTGTGAGGTATACGGGTTTTTATTAGATGCACATTATTTGACAATAAAGGTATAGAAGTGTCACATAGACCTTTTCTGAGTTAGTAGAAGCATGACGCATCTTGGTCTGGCTACGCCACGGTACAAACAAATATATTATGAATATTATACAAATTTATTATATATATATACAAATATATTATATCATCAGTATTATACAATAAAATACATTAATTACATATGTTTATATTTATGTAAAAACGGCATAATTCAATGATTTGCAAAGTTGTTTAACAAAGTATTATTATTAACAACACCATATCAAGGAAACAGTAATGATGAAAAGGTAAATTATACACCGTGAAAAAGGTGAAAATACTTACTGACGTTTCGGACGCTAGTCCTTCGTCTTTTACTCCGACGAAGGACTAGCGTCCGAAACGTCAGTAAGTTTTTTCATCTTTTCACGGTGTATAATTTACCTTTTCATCATTACTGTTTCATTAGAAACACCGACGCAGCTCACACTAGTTTTTAGCTAGTTATATCTTCATATCAAGGAAAGATGGACAAAATATGATTCCCTTGTGCGTCAAAAGCTTTCTACCATCATTCTTTAATTAATTTACCAAGATAATTTCGATTTGGACCATTGGGCTTTCACCTAGAGCAGCACAGGGAGCGCAATTTACTCTCAGAGGATTTATACATGTCAACGACATTAGATACTAAGGCGAAATTATATAAGAAAACAAAGGCGCACGCGAAAATATATTTAAAAAATAGCAAAATATTCTAGTGCATATGTTTTTTATCGACTTTTTTACTCTTTCGTATTGCGGAGGACATTATCTTGATCTCGAATTAAAAAAATAATTATTTAATTTTCTCGATTTTATTTTCACCATTCACTTTTATCTAAATTGAGCTCCCTGTGCCTAAAGTTTCCGCAAACAAACAAATAAAGCAGGCAGATGTAATGTGCGCGCGAGCTGGCAACCAGACAATAGTTTCCGTTTAAGTAATTTACCTCATGTAATCCTATTTTATATACATAATCTTACGAATTTAAAAGAAATTGCGTACCTCGGATGCATGTCTGGCTGCTTCCAGAAGGCAATGGTTTTAGAACCTAGAAAGAAAAAAAAGATTGACTTAATCAGTTTATAGGAAACAAACGAGGTTAATCCGTATTTCAAGGAAAAAGAAATATGTTAAATGAAATTGCTGCAGAACGAATTGAATCTCCGGCATCTAAATATTTTTAATTAGCAGGACGGAGGTTCTCTAAGCCAAATTCTTGCTAAAATTCTTGGGTTGAAGTCTTCTTATGTGAAACATAACTGCCTCGCTGTCTCTATCCCCTGTGAACATTATATTTTGCAGGCTGTACAGGTGCGCATGTGTAGTTTATTTCCTTACTTTTCGCTGTCCAACTGAACTTTTTGTTTTCTGTCCCTCGTGACTGATGAATTATAAACACAGGCATCCCAAGAGTAGGAAAATACGAACGAATGAAAAAGCAAACCGATGCGGAAGAGACTAGACCTTGATGTGGTGTAACTAAATACCATAATGCCTCTTGACCAAGCGCGCGAAAACCGGAAGAGAAACCAGATGAAATAGCAAGATACGTAAAGAGGACCAAAACAGGCCGAGACACGTTGATTGCAACACCCATTAAACCATAAGCACTCTTATGAAAATATTTTTTTTCTGTCTCAATCAAATAAAACCAATTCAAGTTTAATAACTAGACGACATAATCTCTTGATGTTTAATAATATTTAATGTTAGAATTAAAGCTGTTTTTCTCTACGTAAAAAGTGTTTTCTATCATTTGCTGAGCGAAAAAAGCTAAATTATTTCTTCAATATAAACGTAATGTAGATTATGATTTTTCAGCTTAATTTCATAAATTCTCGCTTAATAATCTGAATCATAAAATTGCGCGAGGATCAATAATGATGGATGGTTTTACATCATTAAAAACATTTAGAAATTCCAAGATTGATTAAACGAAAGTTTTTTCCTGAATAAAACTAAACTAAAAAATAGTATACTAGTAAACCTTACATTAATTCTCTACTGCTATCTCTTTCCATTTTTATACCTTTTTGGAATTTGGATCTTGACTGAATAGTTGGAAGCATATGTCTCGGCATGTAGTACAATCTCCAGAGAATTTCCCGTTAGAATCGTTCAAGGCTCTTGGTTTTCGGCTCTTGTGCGCTTCATCGTGGTTAAATGTTTTGACAGGTTTTCGTTGCTCGAGTCTGACAATCCGTTCGTCTAACGTGTGCACTTTGTAAGTCAAATACCCAACAGCCAATAACGTAATGGTCAGGTTGAGTAAAAAGCCAAGCTGTAACATACAGTGTGTTTTAGATTTCCCGTTGCTCTCCATGTTGAGCGTTTGAGTCCAGAATAATACGATGCTGCGAGAACTTCCGTCGTAAGCTAATCGTGTTTAACCCCCGAGGTCACCAACCATCGCCACGGAACACTACGAAAACGTGCGCAACTCCACTAAGGATGCAATCTGATTGGTTTTTACTTTTCTTAAATGATATAGTGTGGTTTCCAAAGCTTCCGTACTTGCTGAAAACGATTTAAATCTCGAGCTTTTCACAGCGCTGCACAGCGCAAAAGTAATAAACATAATATTTTTAAAAACACTTGTGCGATAACATGTACTGAAACTAATTACGTATGTAACGTATGTTGGAATGTATGTCACACAGACACGACTGAGGAAAGGTGCACGCTTATGCGCATGACCATCACATGGGGATTTTATACCAGACTCTATGCAGAAGGTTTGAAAATCTGTCGTTTAAGTTATCGTGGCTGTTTTTATATTCCAAAAACTTTTGCGCTGAACTATGGTTTACAGCCCCATTATTTTGATACATTTCGAGAGATTCTTGATGCCATTCCAACAGAGGAAGGAATATGCCTTCTGTTAATCTTCTGGAGAACTTGCCCAAACACGACTATAAGAGGACCATTAAAAGAACACTCTTTGATTATTGCTTATCTGATGCTGAACACAACTCTGACCCCGACCCGTTCCCTTAAGGCATTTGCGAAAGCTAACAAGCCAAAACATGTTTGTGAACGTAGATAAAGGTGGTAATTGTTTTCATAGTGGGTGACAAATGGTCAGAGCGATAATTGTCAAGCTAAGACCTGGAGTGAGACACTACTATGGACTTTTAAGAGAGAATTCTTTTCGTATTCAAGCAGTAAGCGCCAAAAACTATTTTGTTGAAGAAAGACTGTTGCTCAAGGCTAAAATCTTGCGGTTTTTCAGAAAGTTTAACTTGTTTGGAAGTGGAGATGACCGATAAAAGTGGAAGCAAAGTGTTAACCAAAGCAAAAATTTTATTCGAAAATGAGGTTTAGGGCTTCATTTGCTTATTTCCCATATATTTTCTATAAAAAAGCCTGACAAAGCAACATTCTAACACAAATGCAACAAAACATCTATGTACAATTGAATGAAATACCGCTTCAAAGAGGCATTTAAAAAAGGTTTTGAGCATTAACCCAAAACGAAAATTGGGATCAAAACTCATACGAAAGTCTAGTTTTTGGCGCTTTTTGCTATTATTGCTCATTATTGAAAAAATTTCCTCTTAAATTGACAAATTTAAGGCTTAAAGGGGTGGATTCCCGAAAATGAGAAAAAGAAAGTCACGTGACTTTTTTCGCCATCATGTTGTAATGGCTGACACGTGTCCTGGCATTTTCCACCATATTGTGTTAGTCTTTCCTACAGAAAAGAGATAAAATAATATTTAACATATGAAATTTTATTCAATTTTGCACATTTTGCCAAAATTTTGACTCTTAAAATTCTCTCACTCTCAGTCCTTCTCAACTATAATACCCCGATCAACATACGAAGAATGAGTACGAGTAAGTCCGCTGGTCAAAAGATCGTTGAGCCCGCAGGTTCAACTATCCTAAACTTTTCTGCTTTTCTATTCTGTTATGTAGTTTTATTCCTAAAATACCCGTCATTATGAATGACTCAGAGCTATTCAGGTACGCTATAAGCATGCTGACATATTATTCTTAACGATCTCCTCTAAAATATATTGTTAACGTGTTTTTTTCTTGGGTTTTTTTTAGTGAAGGAAACGAGGCATTTGTTGACGAGAATTATCAACTTGCTCTTCAGGTACGTCATATTTTTCTTACTTTAAACTCAAAATGTTCCAGGATAAACGAAGATTAATTTTGAATCCTAGATGATTTTGATAATTATAGGTATAGATAGGTCTAATATGTGTGATGATGAAAGCTAAATACAGCATTGTATCACGTACAAAACCTGGTTGCACATGGCTGTCATTTGTCGACTATTTTTGTGTTTAGAGTGCAAAAATACTAAATGTGTGCAATAGTTATCACTATATTTAGTAGTAAATAGCACTAGTTAAACTAAAGAAAACAATAGAATTAGCATAAGATTACACTATTAAGTGATATTTATGTTGCACACATTTAGTGTTTGTACTCCAGTACAAGCTTGAAACAGTAACTTTATTTGTATTGTAATTTTAGAAATATACGAATGCTATTGAGCTGAATGGATTTAACCCAAAATATTACGTGAAAAGAGCAACAACATACTTCAAGCTTGGTAATTTCAGAGGTACATGTATATATAACTTTTTAATATTTTGGGCTAGTTAAAATTATTTCTCATGGCCTGGTCTACTAATGTACTTATAAGTCGTATACAGTAACAGGTCTCATGATCCTACCCACACTAAAATGAATTAGTTTCACGTTACACGATTCCCACTTTAACATAACAGTGCTGCACTAAAATCATCATATAACATCACCTTTAGGGGGTATTGTGTTGGGTAATGTACTCTAATGCATACATCCCTGAGTGACTGATATCTACATCTACATTTTGTTGTCAGCAGAAACTATACATTAAGTTATCACGCTAACTATGGGAAAATTAAATAAATAGATAAATAATAATAAATAAAATATAAAATATAGAGTATATAGAATAGCCTAGATCATAGACGAGACATGCCCCCTGCCACCCCGAGTCCCACGCCCGCGCAGACAGACTTTATGGTCTGTCTTAGTGCGCATGCCCAAAACCCGGAGCAACAGAGAAACATGTCCCATCCCCCAATCCAGGCCACTCCATATAGATATAAAATATAAATATGAAATTTAT